TAAACTTCCACGAGAAGAGCTTCATTATCTCTCACACGTGGAAAAATACTTCTCAAGAAACTTATAACTTTCATTTGTGATCAATAATTCATAAAGTAAAAGAAATCTATTTATCGAAAAAGAAATTCTTTATTCAAAATGAAATGATTTTATCTTTTATTTCGATTAATTGTATTATTTCACAACTGAGTTATTTTCAAAAGAAATTAATTTTTATTTTATTCGGTACATAGTTCATATTTTTGAATTCGATGATTACCAGAATCGGCAACGTAGAGATTCCCTTCAACATCAAATGATAGACCTTTGGGAAAATATAATTGATTTGATTCATTTCCTTGACCATTTCCACCAACAACAATTGAACCGTTTGTATCTTCTTCATACCATCGCATAACTCGATGATTTCCAGAGTCTGCGATAAAGATTTGACCGAATTTATCAACAACCAGTCCTTGAGGATGAAATAATTGGTTGAGATCATTTCCGTTTTTACTTCCGCCAAAAACAACAATACCTTCTTTTGAATCCTTTTTCCATTTCATTATACGATGATTGTCAATATCTGTTACATAAACAGAATATTCTTCATCGACGAAGATTTCCCCGGGATTACTGAATTGATTTAGACTATTTCCGTCACCATTTCCACCTGCAACTAGTGTTCCATCTATGTCTCCTTGTTTCCATCGTCTCACTTCAGACTTTATCGAATCAGAAACATAAATAGACTCATCTTTGTCGATTGCCACACCACGACAATTAATATTCGAAATGAAAATTTGTGGATTTTTTTCACTTTGCCGGAACCACCGCATTACTCGATAGTTCTCAGAATCACATATGATTATCGCATTCTGCTCTTTGTCAACAACTACGTCGATTGGCATATTGAGTTGATCTGGTCTATTTCCGTCGTCATTCCCGCCAGCAATCACTTCACCACTGTTCGATTTATATTTCCATTCAACAACACGATTATTTCCAGTATCAGCAATCAAAATGGCTTCGTTATCATCGATAGAAATCCCAGTAGGAGTATTGAGTTGGTTTAATTGATCTCCGTATTCATTTCCTCCAGCAACACTAATTCCATGCTGTTTCCATTTGTTATATTTTGGCTTGCTTTGCACTAAAAGTGAAGAAAAAAAGATTTGATATTAAATTAAAATCTAACAATATCCATTTAATCAAACATGTCAAAACAAAAAGGAAATAGAATTAATTTTTATAAAGAAATTTCATTTGATATTTTGCAAAAATCGAGAAGAAAACAATGTAAATGTTTTTAAAGATTTATTGAATTTGTGAATCAATGATTCAACCCAAGATCTTCGTAATTTTTGGAAAAAAAACAATTTACCATTGGAATTAGTTGAAGATAAGAGATTATTACACTTTATCTTTGGTATTTTAAATAGACAAAAGAAAACTAAATAAAGATATGTTTTTGTTTTTCTTTCGAACAAGCGAATCAGAGTTTGTTCTCTGAATTGATGATGCATATCTATAGATGACTAATCAAAAGTCAAGCGAAGACAAATTCTCACATTTATACCGATACTACTGTGTGTTCTGCGATATCTCCTTTAGCTATTTGTCGATTAGTTTTCTATCAAAATTTTGAAAATACTATACCCTAATGGAACATCTTGTAAGCAAGATCTTGGTCGAGATACACAGAGGTAAATAGATTGTGGAACTTTTAGATCCAAAATAAGATTATTATCTTGTGTGAAAATCTAATGTAGATTTATAAGATCTTAGTCAACATAAGGTGGTCTAATATAGTCACTCTAATTCATGTATGGATGCTCTTAAATACTTCAGAAATAGTCCATCAGATATCTTGTATAAGTGTCAGAAACCAAATCATAAATCAATGATCAATTTAATTAATCTTCAAAATACTCTCTCACAAGAACGCCTTTAGATGGAAAAATTCGCTATACACTATCTAGAAACAGTAATAAATACTACATTGACAAACATTATTTAGTCAACATCTTGACGAAGAAATGTTACATTTATATAGTCATAGTCACATCAGATTCATCTGTACACAAGGTCAACTCACATTTATCTACTTTGTATCTTGATTACAAGATGTTTTATTAGAGAAATTACACACTGATAAACTTCTAGAGGACAATTTTTGAGAAAAATATTGAAATTTCGTTCTTCATCTCTCAAATATGTACCATATGTGAGTTCTATTCTATAAAATGTATGAAACACTATTGTTAATCTGTATTCTTATCTCTTAACTTTAAGTAAAGAATGACAATTGAAGCTTACTCATACAAACATAAAATATCATCTTGAAGAAAAATAAGTAAATCTTCTATGCTTATGAAATAGTTCTTCAAAACTTCTTCGTTAAGAAATTGTACTATGAATTTCATGAAAAGTATCGATATTTCTCTTTGTGGAATATGATTTAGAATTTATATCTTTATCAAAAATGAAATAACAGAATAGTAATCTGTATGAATATTCTAATAAAATATTCCAAAATAAAATCAACACTTAACACACCATGAAAATGTGTTAATAATTTACTTAAAAAGAAAAGGTTACTGCCTTTTTTTTATTTTGATAATATTATACCTTGTGTCGTCGGGTTGGCCGCTGCTGTTGTAAATTCATGCGTCGTTGTTGTAAATTTATGAGTCGTTGTTGTAAATTCATAAGTTGTTGTTTCTGGTGCCATAGTTGACAGTTTTACTATATCTGTTGCTTTTTTTGTTACAGTTGGTAGTTTTATTATATTTGTTGTTTTTTTTTTAACAGTTGATAGTTTGTTTGTATCTGTTGTTGTTCTTATAATAATCAAGGTTACAAAAGTTACGATCAAAATAACAATGATAATACCGATAATGATCCATAACAGTTTCTTTTTTTTTAAACATTTGCTTCTATAATAAAGATTCTTTTGATTAGAAATTTCAACAATTTACAAAACACATACAACAATGTTGATCGATCAGTTGATGTTGGTTGAGAATTCGATGTAACTGATTCAGATTCAGGCTAAAACAGTTGATGAAAATCAAACGTTATTTCATCTAATTTAAACACAATATATTACATCACAAACTCCTATTTGATTTCGACTCATCATGAATGTTTTGTGCACGTATATGAGATTGAGCTAATAGCTTATTAAAATCAATAATCTAGAATATATAACAGAAACTAATATGATATCAAAATAAAACATCTTCAACACATATGAGGAAAAACTAATACTTAAGAACAAAAGATTAGTTGAGAATAGAAAAAAATATTTGGCTAAAACTAAAATGAAAAACATTTGTTTAGAAATCAATTAAAAGAAATGGGAAATTCAATTGAATTGTGTTAATTATAGAGAGAAAGAGAAAATTATTAATATAGAAATACGTTTATAAGACTTTTATTTGAAATGTTTTTAAATGATTTTGCCAGAGCTGAAAAAAAATCCTTAAAATACTGTTGAAATTTAGTTTCATCTGAGAATAATCAAAATAAAATAGGGTGTGGATGTCTTTTCTCTTAGCCTACATCCACACATTTTTAGTAATTAATAATATAATTACAAAGAAGTTAAACTGTTTATTTGAATATCTTTTCTTTTCTTACAAAGAATCATTTCTGTTTCTCGTTAGTTGTTGAAATCTATATTTCAAGTAATATCTAATATTCCTTACCGACTAATCTTAGAAGTTTTTCATTTCAAATTCAACTAGAAAATTGTTAAAATAATAAAAAAAAGAATTATCATGCTCTCTCTTTCTCTTTCTAAAATAATCAGTTCTCTTGTGACGTAGATTATCATGTTAATGTAAAGCATCATATATCAATAAAAACAATAAACTCACTCCCTTTTTCAATGTTGATTTTCAAAAAAAAAAAACTTTTGTCAAATAGAGTTGTTATTTCCTATAAATATAAAACTGTTTGAGACAACATTTAATGTAATAATTAGTTAATAAAACATTGAAAAATCAGCACTGTTCACAAAGGATATGCATCATATCCTAACAGAGAAAAAAAAGTGACGTTGAAATGTTTTACTATATAACACAAAGATTCTTCTAAATGAATTCAGAATTAGACAATATTTATGGTCAGAAATGGACTTTAATTTGATTTCATGACATACAATAATTATTTCCAGAATAGATAAATGCTTTAATTGGAAGTCGAAATAGAATATTCAAGCAAACAAAAATAATTAATACTTGATCTTGACTTAGGTATAGTCTACTAGATATGACTAATCAATAGAGAAAGAACTTTAATCATGGTTTTTATAATTACAATCATAGTCATATAAAATATGTAGATTCTTTGAATAATGACATTTA